ATATGTGGCCAGTAGACTAAGACTTGACTTAGACTTCCAGCCATGCAACTTATTAAAATAATAAATATTTTCATTATCCAGAAAATTCATTATAGTTCTCTGTTTTAACTATTGTTAATAATAATTTGGATTAATTGCCAAGTTAAATCATTAAAAATTAAATCCATATATTTTGCTTCTTTAAAAGAGTGATAGTTTGCAACCATTTGTGTATTATGCATGGCAAGTGGGAGAGCGATGAAATATGTTGTGTTAACTTAACTTTGACAGCATCTGTATCCATGCCATATTACACTCTGGTCTTATCAAATCTCCGAAGCTACAGTGTATAAATAGACTGTGATGATATTTGCAGGAGAGAAATCATTCACAATATTTTTGGCATCTTCTGTAGTGACTAGAGAAGAACCACCTAACGAATATAGGATGCAATAATGCAATAAAGGGGTGTATAAGAGCATAGAATCAAGGAGCATTTACACATGCTGAGTCAGAGTTAAGGTTAGGCATACGTTAGCGATCAGACATAAATGAAACTTTCATTCTAAGAAATTTCAAAGCAGATGGCAAATTTAAATGAATAGGGAAACCCAATTCAGAGCTCGTTTTGCTCTCTGCTGAAGCAACACCAGCCATTGTGCTGGAACTCTAGCACCGATTTAATGAAACATTATCAGGTTGAAGACATATAGATACAGGTGGAAAGTAAAGCTATTTAGAGAGTAAAATTTCCTAGAAATGTATATTTTTACTATGTTATGAGTACTAAACTCTAGGTTGTGCAACTGCTCAAACAGCATGTTACTGAGCTCAATATAGGAAAAAAAGTGGAACCAGATAGGCTATTATATACAGGTGGCTAGACTACATAATCCGGTGGGTTTGCCTTGCTGTAAACTATGAGGTTATGAAGAAACCCTACATATAAAACCCTTCACACTTAAGCCTATAAGTACCTAATTATACGGAGCAGGCTTTTAAATTTAAATCATAGTGGAGAAGGTTTTTAAATTTAAATTTATTTAAATAGCAATCCTGTTATAAAGTATATTTAGCAGACTACTTTAGAGACCCCTGGACAAACAAAGTACATCTTAAAACACTGAGGGACTGCTTGTGCAACACCAAGTCTAATTTAGGACCCCTTGTCCCTGCAGAGCCAGTGCCCAGCTGAAACAGGTACTACTCAGTACGGTGATGAATCGTTGAAGCAAGACTAAATAATACTACTTAGCTTTTTCATCCTGTGAAAGGTATTTGTGTCTGGGCTTTATGTAACCACTCATTGAGGTGAGAAATGGTGACATGTAGCAGCCTCCGTTTTGTCCTCGAAACCTCAAGGTGCAACACTCACAATCTAATCCTGGACCACGCTGCATATATACACAGCAGCGTGGCTGCCCCCTGAAACTGCTAAAATCCACAGCCAAAACCCCAGGGTCTGACCGTGTCCCACATCCTCAACACTGGTGTGTCAGAAGTGGGGAAAAATGTAGAAAATCACATTCCTGAGACACACTGTGCTCATGCCAAGGAATTTCCTACACTGGTCACCTCCAGAGCTCCTCTCCTGTTCTTTGAAAGCATTTTGCTGAGGTGTTCAAAATTTGCTAGGAATTCATTTCTCCCTGGGTACATGTTTTAAAGGTGGGTTATACCAAAGAGATACTATGGTGATATTTTGTGTAGAGGATGTTGACTAAGAACGTAGTATTTCTCACCTCCCCCTTATTTTATGTTGCATTAAAATTATCTTTACTCTTCCTCAGGCAGTTGCTATGCCACACTTCAAGACAGAGTCTGGGAAGTGGGAAATGTCAACTTTTAAGATGCTGTTCGGCTTCCTTGTTACATGCATTCTTTATGTAATGGATTTCAATTACATATTGTTTCTAGGCCTTCAGCTCTTCTTAGAAAGTCTGCTTGACTGGGCACAGTCGCTTGCTTACTCTTAATGAAGAGCTGTTAACAGAGGAAAGAGCACAATGAGGGGGCAAGTAATGCCTACATGAATCATTAAAAATATATGTACACTGAGCAGGATTATATAGCACATGGCATATTTTTATTTATATTATGCCATGCTTTCCTAAAAAGGCACGCTTCACTACCTACAGGAGCTGAAAATATGTTGACAACTCACACAGCAAGGGATGACAGGGGAGAACCGGTGGCTACGGGGAAGACGTGGGTTGCAACAGGCAGCATGAAAGGAGTTCCTTCAGGCATGGGCCTGAACTTATTTTAAACAGTCTGAGGTAATTTACTGTGCATTACGGTTGTGCTCATAACACACTCAGGGATAGATGGGACGTTTTTAGGTAAGAAAGCAGCAGGTGAGGTTACTGTTCGATGGATGACAAGTGGAAAGGGTATGAGTGAGTGAGACTGCAGAGCACAGAGGATGCTCCAGCCACAGGAACCAAACACGGTCCTATGCCAAGGAGTCAGCAGAGGAGCACAGCAAAACCACAAGCCTATCTATTAGGGCACATCACAGGGGAAACAAAATCAGGGGTGGAATTTTAACCTGTAAGTGAGGTCTCGCTGACAAGGAGTTTCAAAAACACCATCAAGGCCAGGGGGAAGAAGGGGAAACTTCCAGCACTTGGCACATAGCCAAAGCAGTTTGAGATTTTCAATTGACATTAATTTCAATGCAATTAGTCTTGATGTTCTCTGCTCCACATGAGAAGAGAATCATGGCCATGATGGGAAAGAAAAGAACACCACAATAATAATATACATGCAAGAAATGTAAAAATAAAATAAAATAATCTTGTGTGTTAAAACATATTAAAAACATAAAACATACTGCCTATGTTGCTGTCGTTATGTATTGCTGTTTGAAATTTAATTCACTCACTGCTGTTCATGCTGTTTACTTTTTCAACTGATGTCAGTTTTGATGATGAATTTAGCCCACTGAATTTCACTTCCAAGTTTCCACACATCTGTGAGCTGCCACTTGTAAGCGCTGAAGTCCAACTAATGAGTTACAGAACTATCTATGGTCAGCTCTAGCACTGACCTGCAGTCCCTAAAGACAGCCCTAAATTTAGTCCCTAAAGAAATGCAAGCCTGCCCTGCTGTATATACCATTACAAGGGTGATTTAAGCACTTCTACAAATCACTGGGTAAGGTGGCATGCAGGGAATGATCCAGGGCCATACTGCAATGTGAGTTGTGAAATCTCCCTTAAAATAAGAAGAGTGAGACAGCACAGGCCGTGGCTTAAAAAAGGTCAGTGTAAAGATGCCGCCCTTCACACTTTGGTAATACATTTATTGAGAATGTTACCTGCCTTGAAGGCTCAACCTTCAGCCATGCTAAGCTTCACCCCAGCTGCCACAAAAGGCTCTTTTCAGGTATATTTGTGTGTCCATTAATATCAGACCAAGCCTGGCATCTGATCTGGCGTGGTTTTGTTGTTGTTTTTTTTTTTTTTTTTTATTTTTTCACTTTCATTGTCATCCTCATTCCCTCTGGCTAGACAGAAATTGCCGCGAGCCTTCCCAGCCCGGGACACGACCACACTGGGGGAAGTGAGAAGAGAGACCGGGCCGCAGCTGGCTCCCGGGAGTCCCTCCAGGCTGAAGATGCGCCACATCCGCAGGGTGGCGGGACTTCTGGCAGTAGGAGGCAGCACCACCTTGGCTGTGCAAGGGAAGGCAAGCAGCTCTGGAGTGGCTCGGGATTTTGACTTGCCGAAAGCTTGCATGCGGACGCACGGGATTTCAAACCTTTCCCTTGGAGCGTGCCTACCCTGCAGCCAAAGTTGTGGCTGTAGCTTGCGCGGGGTTACCAACCCTAAATGAAATTGAGCTAACTCGGGAATGAGTAAAATACAGTCACAACACCAGCCGAGAAGCCTGAGTAAATACTTGAGCCTGTGCCAGGGCTGCATGCACATTCGGGTACCACCAGTCAGCCTCAAGCCGGCTTGGATTGGTCTCCCCAGAGCGAAGATCCTCCAGCGTGGGATCGTGCTGTGGCTATTCACATTGGCATTGTCACGTCAATAGCCCTCTCTTTCCATCACAATTTTGGACTTTTCTTCTCCCCATCTGCGATGACATGGCACTTCTCTGGCAGCTATTCACTGCTTAGTTGAAAAGCCCTGATATTATGGAAAGTATTTAATATGTGTTAACCTCTCTTAATGTGATTCAGCAAGCACAAATCAGGAGAGCCTGCCTCCCCTGGCCAGTCAGGTATCACACGGCCCGTGCTTCACGCAGACTGGACAGTGCAAGCCGCCTCGCTCTCTTTGGTTGGCAAGCACTGACGATTAGTACTTTTATTTTTAGCCAGAGATCACACATTTTTAAAGGTTTCATGAGCAACCCAGGGACCTTTAATCTGCTGTGCCGGTCTAGGTAGCCCTGTGTGTAGATGGATGGATGTAAATGGAGCCCATAGGAGCTGTGATTTGCACAGGTGCAGCTTGGTGCAAACCCACATTTGACCCAGCCACAGACCCCCAAGTGCTGGACCGCAGCGAGGGCCCATGTTGGCACCCAGGGCTGCCCTGGGACCAGAGCAGTGGCCTGCCCTACCACAAACCTTCCCCAGTGTCTCCTCGGAGTTCCTCCGCCGAGCATCCCGCTGTTTTTACGACGCGTGAGGTGCTACCCAGGGGCATCCTTGGGGCCGAAGGGCAGCGAGCACTCGTGGAGGAAGAGGAAGAAGGGGGCGGGGGAGAGAACCCCAAACCCAACTTCGTGCGGGCAAGCCTCTCAGGGTGCAAGTTCCCACCAAGTCCCCCCAAGTCCCGTCCCCTTCCTCCCGCGCGTCCCTCCCCCCGCGCTGAGCGGGCCCTGCGCGGGTGCTGCGCGGACGCTGCGCGGGCGCAGCGTGCGCGGGGCGGGCGCTGCCTCGGCTGCACTCCCGGCGCTCAAGGGGGAGGGAGGAGGCGCGGGGGAGCGGGGCGGGAGCGAAGCGCGGCAGCGGCGGCGGCCGAGCCGAGCCGCACCGCGCCGAGCCGAGCCGAGCCGCGCCGAGCCGCTTGCAAACGAGCAGGGTTTTTGGGGGGTCTGCTTTATTTTTAAGGGGGAAGCGGTCGGAAGGTGGCGGCGGGGGCCCGTCTCCGGCCGCGCGTATGCGGAGGGGGCTCTCCGCGCCCTCGCCCTGCCCGCGGTGCAGTTAAGATGCGCCCCGGACGCCGTGCGGTTGCAGCGCCGCGGCGCTGACATCTCTCACCATGGACAGCTTCGACTTAGCTCTCCTTCAGGAGTGGGACCTGGACTCTCTGTGGTGAGTGGTGCCTCTGGCCCGCCCCCCGGGCTCGGGGAGCAGTCGGGGAGGGGGGCAGAATCTGCAAGGGGGTGCTATAAACGAGGGGTGTGCAATAATTGAAGGGGGTGCAATAACTGGGGGATATGCAGTGATTGGGATGGGTGCAATAATTGGGGTTTGTGTGCGCTTACCTGGTGGGTTGGATAAATGGGGGTGGGGGGTAATAGTGGGTGTGCAATAAGGGGAGTACAGTGGGTTGAGGGTGTAATAACTGGGGCGGCGGGTGCATTAGCAAGAGAGGGTGCAATTGCCCCGGGAGGTGTCTCCCCTGCTACTTGGTCTCCCAGGAGGGGAAGAGGGAAGGGTGCCCCCCCTCTTCCCGTGGCTGCCGAGGGTGGGTCCGGGAGTTGGATGTGGTGTTTAGCTGGGGGGAGGCGGGGGGGTGGGGTGTCTCCCGCACTCACATCTCTCCCCCTCTCAATTGTCCCCTGTGCTCACCCGAGCTGCACTCCCGTAGCTCATCCCCCATCCCTCCTGCACGCCCCTTTCACACCCCCGTTTCGCCCCTTCTCGCTGCGCCGCAGCTCCTTCCCGGGCAGCCTTTATTGCCTTCCCCGACGCCCCTCTCTGCTTTTCTCTCCTGTCCCCCTTTTCCCCCTCATTGCCTCATTGCATGCCCTTGACCTCCCCCTGAGCACCCCCGTGCCTGCCCCCAGCCCCCCCTCCCGGCGGCGGGTGCGGGGCTGCCAGGGAGGAGAGGAAACAATTTCTAGAAATGTCATTAGCGGCTGGAGGTGGGAAGCGGTGCCCTTCCCCCGCACACCCTCCCCAAGCCGCTGCCTCTGCCAAGTCCTGGAGTTGACTGCGAGAGGCAAGCCGCCCCCCCACCATCGGCCCGGCCCGGCCCGGCCCCGGGGCGGCAGGAACCTGTCGGGGCCGGCCGGGGTCCCGGGGGCACACACACGCTGCGTGGCAGCGACCACAGGGGCTACTCGGTGTGCTCCTTGGGCAGCGCCGGGACCCCCGGTGCGACGCCGCGCTGGGACGCGATCTCGGCGGATCCCCGCTGTGATCCTTCCCCAGCGGGGTGCTCGCCCCGTCGGGGCTGGGGTGCGCTCAGCCGCGGGTGCTGTGCTGCCATTAGCCAGGGCTGCGATGGCAGCTTGTGTCCTGCCGGTGAGACCGGTAGTTTGGGGAGTTGAGAAGACTTTTGCCTAAATTCAGTCAGCGGTATGCATTTTTAAATTATTTTTTTGGACCGTGTGAGGTGATCTATAGCTTCTGTCAGCAGGGTGCGCGTTCGGCAGCGCCGGCTTATCTCTTCGGTGGCAGGTGTAACAAAATAAGCCGGACCAGCGCATCCCTCTTCTTACACAAGACCTCAGGATGATGAGAACAGCTTGCAGTGCATAATAGGGTGCTTAGAAATGCATACATTGATAACATCCAGCCTAATAAAACTTTTATATTGCTGTGGGAACTTTAAAGAGCACATCTAATAGAAAATTAGTTACTACCCCATAAAACTTTTTAATTACAGTGTTTCTGCCTGTGACACAAGTTAAGGTTATGTCCTCATTTCAATTATAAATACCAATATTCAGTTTATAACCAAACCATAACATTTCTTTCTGGGCCGATTTTAAGTTTTCAGTCCGTATGTATGGTTTTACCACTATATTACATCTTTTTTCTATTAAACAAGAGTGGGGCAAATAATACTTTCACACATTTGTATGCTTTTGCCTTTCTTCTTGAATGAAGACAAACTTTGGGGGAATTTTCTTTTTCCAGCAAAAGCGTGCTGTTCATTAGTTGGTTCTGCAAGCTGGCTATTGGAGTTAATATTGAATTTGAAAAGCTAACAATGTAACTATGGAAAGCTGGGGCTTTGGGATGTGTCTGGCAATTGCTCCTTTTCATAACCTTTTTAGCATGCTTTTCCACTATTGTGGAACCACTTGCAAATGATCGCTGTTGCCATAATGCTCCTGTACAGGTCCAAAAAGACATCAGCCATTTCCCATCTGAATTACCTGCTTAAAAGTATCTGTATTTGCATTACAAGCAATCTTGTGGTTTTGTTGCTCTTGTTTGCTTTCCTCTATAGTTGTTGCAGTTTAGAAGGCAGGGTCAACAGAAGGGCTTCAAATAACACGTTAAAAGCCAATGCATTGTGACAGGCCGCCGTTTGCTGCTAAACAGTCATCCCTGCATAGGGGTTGAGCCCACACATGTGCAGAGCAGTGCCTAGAGAGGGGAATCACACCTACTTTAAGCAGAGCTCATCAAGGGAGCAGGGGTTTTGCAGGTGTTTGCTGTTGAGAGTTGCATCATTTTGGGGCGCTATGTTTGGCTGACCAGCTTTGGCATAGAGTATCTGAGATCACAGGCTGGAGGTTGATCATGAAGCAGCTGTTTTGGCAAAAGGCTCAGAATAGCCATTTTAATTTAAAAGTTATATGAGGAGTATTAAATAAAAACTTAGTTTCTCATAGTGAAAGCTTCCAAAGTCTCCTGTGAAGGCCAGTGGTGCCTCAGTGCTGCAGCAGCCGTGGCAAAGGGCCCTGGGTCTGTCTCCCATCGCTTGCAGGGCTCATGTCTCCCATTGCCCTCCTGCCACCCTGCCTGCTCACTGATGGGCAGGTTATGGATGTTCTCAAGAAACCTTATCTGAATACTGTGCTAAACTGACCAAAACAAAGCTGGTACTTCAGCTTTAAGCTCTGAAGGCTTGTCAGGATGCCTTCAAAGGAGTGCAGTTGTTGCCAAAAAGGGAAATAAAATACACCACATAGATAGGAAGCACTTCATGGCAAAGAGCAACACTTAAAGAGACTTAATTTTCTCTGCAGCAAGAATGAATGTTGTCCTTTATTCTTTTGAATGTAGTCATAATGACAGTTTGCGCATCTAATTTCTGACTGAAAATCCACTTTTTGAGGTATTTGGTGAACATTTTGCTTAAAAGTGCAATAATTAAATATTAATGTGATATTCTAAAGTGCCTTTTTTTTTTTTTTAATTTGGTATGTTCTTGGAAAATCAAAAGGGGTTCCCAGATGAACAGCAGCATGTTAATCAATTCTCATTGATTGTTACTTTTATACTATTAATGAATTTACTCTCCAATTAATACATGCTATGTCTTTTATTTTGCTGTAGCATAGAAAATGTAGTAATACATTGTGTCATGGCCTCAGGACAGTATTTAACTAGTAAACTGCAATGGGAGAACATTGTTGGCTGTTTTCTACTAAACAGTAGTTTTTTTCAGGTTGTATTGATGCCAATAACACTTCTGCTTCCCAGAAAACTACTATAATTCAAATAGTGAAAGCTGAGTACAAACTCAAACAGAAATTTTAAGAAAACATACCAGTCTATGACATAAACAAAACTCATGCCCATTTGGTAAGCTTTTCTGGAGCACTTTGGGATGATCATCCCAAGGTGTCCTTACCGCTGACTAACACAGTTATCCAAAACACATGGCACTAACGACTTTGAACCACAGCCTCATCTCCTGTTTTTCTTTCTCCGTGCATTTATTTGTATGCTATACGTGTAGTTTTGCTTCTCCAGACTCAAAATGTGGATTCTCCAGTGTCTTGTAGGTTTGTATTTGTTTGCACCAGACAAAAAGAGATGGAAAACCTCAGTTAGAAATGTTTTATATGCCTTTCGTATGGTGGAAAGCATATTCTACATGACAGAAAGCAGCAAATGAACAGACCAAAGGACTTAATTGGAGTGCCAGGACTAGTTCTGCACTGGAGGTACTCATGTTATTTGCCTTATTTCACAAATCTAGATCAAAATTCAGACAGGGTCTTAACTCTGCTTAGGCTTAGGCTTAGGCTTAGCAATAGGCCTGGTGAAGACCACTTAGTGAGGCTCTCCTCACATGCTCATGTTAGATACACAAGTAGGCTGGATTTTCCCCCATTCATTAAAAACAATTAGCAGATTGATTGAAGCACTTACTGTGTTGTACCAAACAAGAAAATAATTTTGAGTGTAAGATGTTTGTTGACCAAAACAAACCCATGTTGTTCAGGTAAAGGAAGTCAAGTAGGTATTATTTTATTTGGTACTTGCCTAATACTTCTGCATTTTTTGGGTTAGCATCTGTTTTGTAGGGGTTGGATAACCATGTAAAAAATGTATAGCTGTATAGCTTCCAAGTTGAGATCAATATCAAATGCCACAGTGTAAGGTGGCCCAGCGTGTTTTACAGACCATGTACTGAATTATTAGTTCATTTGCTATCTTTGGGTCTGTTCCTGCTCCATTTGAAGTCAATGAGAGTTTTGTTTGGAAGTTGCTACTAACAAAAAGTGGCCAGACATCCAGCAGTCTTATAAATGAACCTTTTGTAACTTCTTGATCCCAGGTTGTCTAGCTTGTAGTCACTACATTTTATATTTGTGTGAGTCAACATTTTTTCCTCATGTTGGGTAGTGTTTACTGGAGATAATTTTAGAAAGCTAACTCTGCAAATGCTTCCTCAGTCAAAGCAGAATATCAAGCTGCTAATTTTCAGATAACTCTAAGAAGCTACTTTGCAGGGAGCGGGCTCGCACCAACCATTCTCCCAGTAGGACAATCGTCTGGACCAGCTCACCCTCTTTACAGACAATACACAGCAATAATACCATCCTCTCACAAAAAAATAACTTAGTGTCTTCTTTTATCTCCCATCTCCTTTACAACTCCGCCTCAGCCTGTGTTTTGGACTATGTTGTCCCTTATTTCTTTTCTTTGGCTCTTGGCCTCTTTCTATCATTAATGCTTAAAATCCTATTTGTCTCCTTATTTCTAACTTTGTGGTATTTCTTTCCTGTTCTGCCTTCCTTCCACTGTCAACTCACAGTTACCACTTTTCTCTCATTGAGATCCCATCTGAAAATTTGCTCTTCCTGTGATGATTATAAGTTACGAGCAAACAATAACACGTGCAATAACTATAACTTGTTCCCTTTTCCCACTTTCACAGCATGTTCTCTCTTCCTGAT